TTTTTGGCATATCTAAGGCTGTATAGCGAGCTTTGTATGGCTCATTGATTTGATATTGTTAAGAAAATAGAGTTAGGCTTAATACTAGAACTAAATGTGCCTATCGTAGGAACCCTTCGGGGTTGGCCTGGAGGCAATAGACTTGAGCCTTGGGGTTTGCTCCCTTTCAAGGTCTCAAGTTCGAAACCCACTGGGTGCAAACAATTTCTGAGAGTCATCGGACTGGGTAAAACCTGAATTAACCGTGGTGCACTTGCGGGAAACTCCTTGCCGAGGGCTTGTGCACCCCCGGGATTAGTCGGGGCTCTTAGAGACTCGGACACCCGGTTCAAATCAAAAAAAAATGTGCCTATCGTAGGGAGAAATTCTAGTAAGAGGATAAAAACATGCAAAAACACCACACCTGCAATATGAATGCAATTTTTAGGTTACCTTTGCCACTAAACTAAAAGCTTCGCTTATGTGAAAAGATTTTTTTTTTGAAATTTTCTGTTACAATAGGGACAGGGGCGGATACACTTAGTATTTTTTGGTTCACAGGAACTCATGCTCAGTCTCAAAATTCTGTATTATGCTTTACATACTTCTTATAAATTAGACAAAACCTATGCTTATGCACTCAATAAAATAAAGGCATCTGGTGAATCAAACAAAGGCATGGTGCACTGATCAAGGATCTTATTATGTGCATATGTATAAAGGGGTTGAAACATTTTAACATGATTGCCCTTTTTACAGCTTTTCAAATACAATACTTGTAACTTGTTGTATCTTGTGCTCTCTTTTAGTTTGTTTTTCTTTCTATTATTCTCTTTGTTTCTTTTTCCTTTCTCTTTTTGTTCATTCTTTTATCACACGTTCACTTAAGATATGTTGTATTTTGTGCTCTCTTTAACTTTGTTTTCCTATTCTATTATTCTCTTTGTTTCTTTTTCCTTTTTCTTTTTGTTCATTCTTTTATCACAAGTTCACTTAAGATATTTCTATGTTACTAATCCATTATCTATATAATTTGATAATAAAAAATTACACATTTCGTGTATAAAGTTAATTCTTTTGAACTTTCTTTTTATTTTTTGTGTTTCCTCTCTCGTCCAACTCCATTTTAGTGATTTTCAAACCTTAGCTTGCTATCCCCGAAATTGCAAGTCTCACACCCAAATTTTCATGACTCATTCCCATAGGCGGAATCATGACTTAACCATTTCGACCTTGATGTTTTTAGCACCAAACTTATTATATTTTAAATTATGAGTTCAAATATAATTTATTAAAAATTTAGTTAATTTTTACAAATAACTTTATGCTATGCATCGAAATTATCGGGTTCAGATTAATCCACTGTCAAAAAAGTGCATCCGCCATTGTTCGTCCCTCTTCTATCGTCGGTAGCGTTGCACCCATCTTTTTGAAATTCTAGATCCGCCTCTGAATAGGGATCATCGAAGGGGAAAGGAAGGGGGATAGTGAAAAATGAACTACACTAATGTTTTTAGCACCAAACTCATTATATTTTAAATTATGAGTTCAAATATAATTTGAAAACAAAAAATATAGTTAATTTTTACAAATAACATTATGCTATGCATCGAAATTATTGGATTCAGATTAACCCACTGTTAAAAAAGTGCATCCGTCATTGTTCGTCCCTCTTCTATCGTCGATAGCGTTACACCCATCTTCTTGAAATTCTAAATCCGCCTTTGAACAGGGATCATCGAAGGGGAAGGGAAGGGGGATAGTGAGAATTGAACCTACATTAAGGCTCCTAGTGTTACCCCTTGATCAAGAGAATTCAACTATATATATAGACACACACATGGTAAGGGCCTTAGCTTCAAGAAGAGAAGATAGCTATGATTTATATGCTTTAACCCATTTTAATTAATCTTGTAGGAGTTTATTCTGTCACAATAGAATCTGACGAAGCCAGAATTTATGGTGAAGTCGATCCAAACCTCCTCTTGAGGGCTCTATCAAAATCAGGCCGTGGGAACCATGCAGAGGTGAAATGGGTGACACTAAAGCACCCATTATTGAGCACTAGTCATATGGCTGATGGATATGGCTCTTACAATCATAGATATGGCTCTAATAGTCATGGCTATGGTTATAATAGTTATAGCCATGGCCATGGCTATAATTCTATTGGTGGTCCCTTTAGGCAGAGAAGGTCGTTGCCCGGCTATACTTCTGGCTATGAGGGACACCACAATCACCAATATCCATTCAGGAGCATTGCACCAGATTACTCCTACGCGTCCAGCTATTATTCCGGTGCTTTGCCACCACCTAGGTATGTCTCAACATATGAAGATCACAGCTTCAACTCTTGCACCACAATGTGATCTTTTTAAGTAGTTATTGTGTATGGTTTCTTATTGTCAAGATTTTACTTGTTTATGTTAAGAATATGTAGACAGCTTAGATAGTGTTTACACCTTTTGTTTCATTGCAGAACAACTAAAGCTCCTTTATGTTGGATAGTTTTTAATATCAAAGCAGTTATATATTAATCAGAAAGACATGTCTGGTTTGGAAAAGTTCCAACCTTTTTGAAATTATATGTTTTATAAATAAGAACGTTCTTTTGTTTTCTATGTTCGTCTTTCTTTTTCCATTCTGCTTTGAGGACGATCTGCACAGAGTATTGAACAAGATTTTAAATGATGTATTGTTTTTTATTTATTTATGAAATTGGTTGAGTTTTTGCTTGACTTCTTAAAGATTTTGTCATTGTAGGCCTCACTACTGTTATAGGTAGAGAACTGGAGAGATTCTTAAAGGCTCGTTGGCTTTCCACGACCATGACGTCAAGAAGTGTTTTTGAGTGATTGTTTCTTTTTAGTTCTGTTTATTAGGGATAATTTATTTAAATAGTAGCGCCTATAGTTGAATAGTTCTTTTGATGAGGATTCAAAGCAAAGCTTCATCTGCATTCAAGTAAATTTTCTTGGAAATTTGTCAAGGTCTCGACATTTCACTTTGGTAATTAACTTTCTTTTGTATTAATCACCAAGAGGAACTGTATAAAACCATAGTCATGCTAACTCAGTTGACTATCTCAAAGCTGAAAAACAAGTAGCTCTTAGCTCGAGTAATTACTCTAACATTGCATATGTATGCTATCTCCCGCACAAGGACATCACTCCCTCGATACCTTTGCTCAAATATACATGTGTTTCTTTCTATCCATATTACATGCGAAATCTCAGCATAGACAATTTTGAAGATGCTAGCCTTCTTGGATTTCCTTTTCCCCTGCTTGATGATCCACCGAAGATGTTGATCCCAGCAAGTGGTAGACATATGTGATCTTTGAACCCAAGTCATTACTTTCTTCCAAAGTTCTCTAGTGTATGGGCATGTAACAAGGAGGTGCTCCCTTGATTCATCCTGATGTTGAGACATAACACATTGAGGGGTAACAATTATACCCCAGCTGGCTAGCCTATCTTTAGTTGGCAATCGTCCATGGAGCAACAACCACATAGTGAAGACTGCCTTTGGCCTAGCGGTATTCTGGAAAATCAAACATTTCTAGCTTACTTTTGGTAAATCTCCTAGGAGTGCAGGTATATTTGTCTAATAATGCTTTTGTTGTTGTCATTTATATTCTGTATCTGCAGTAGAGTTGCTCTAGATCCAATTATTCGTCTCACCATCCAACTAGCTTGCTGTGGTATTGTCATCTGTTGTAGCTGCTATTGTTTGATATAATATGCATTGATCCACATTATCCATAGCTTGTCCTGTTTGTGTGCCAAGTCCCAGCAAGTTTTGGCAATTGTTGTTTTGTTCCACAAAGGAAGGTTAATGAGATTAAGTCCACCAACTGACTTGGGAGTACAGATCTTTTCCCATGCTACTAAGGACTTCTTGGTTATTGTGCTAGTTCCAGACCAGATGTAACTTCTACAAAGTGCCTCTATCATTTTTAGTACCTTAGCAGGTAAGATAAACAATTGAGCCCATTATGCTTGTATGCCAAAGATTACGGATTGGACCAGCTGCATACGACCAACATAAGATAACTTTTTAGCAGTCTAGGAAGAAATCTTGGCTGTGATCTTTTCAATCAATGGTTGCCACTGTATGAGAGCTATTTTCTTTTTAGACAAAGGAATGCCTAAGTAGGGTAAGGTTCCACTTTCAAATCCCAGGTCTCAATATCTAGACCTTCACAACTTGCTTCACTTCACCAAAATATACTGAGCTTTTTCCTAGATTAGCCTGTAGGCCTGATGCCTGAGAGAATTGAGATAGGATCTCCTTGTCGAAGACCCTAGGCAGCATTGGAAGGTTCTGTGGTTTCTCCACTCACAAGAATAGTATAGTTGATAGTCTTAATACATTCCACTATCCATCTGATAAACCTGTCAGGGAATCTAACCTCCTGCATAACCTGCTGTAAGAAGATCCATTCTACTGTCACGACTCGGAATTCCCACCCTCGGGACCGTGATGGCGCCTAGCATTTCACTTGCTAGGCAAGCCAACGTTAGAGATTCATTAAGCCAGTTCTTATACATTTCAATAATTAACAGTAACTAAGCTATAACGAGTTAAAATGGAAGCGGAATTCATAACAACCTCTATATATATATATATATATATATATATATATATATATATATTCTACTATCCGAATCTGGAGTCACAATTCACGAACTTCTAAGATTTCACTACAAGTAATTGTCTGAAAGAAATACAACTGTTTTTTAAATGAAAGAACAGTAAAAGGAAATGTCTAGAAGGGGACTCCAGGGTCTGCTGACGCCGGCAGATCTACCTTGGGTCTCCTGTAGGATAAATCCAGCAGCTAACCTCACAATCAGCTCGAGCTAGTACCAAAATCTGCACAGAAGTGCAGTGTAGTATCAGTACAATCGACCCCATAAAATGGTAAGTGTCGAGTCTAACCTCGGCGAAGTAATGACAAGGCTAAGACAAGACACGCACAAATAAAACCTGTGCAATTTAACAGTATATGTACTACTAACAACAATGAAAGACGAGACAAGTAATATCAGGGAGGGGACACGCTGAGGGGATCACAAGTCAAGAATCACAACAGTAATAAGAACTAGATCAACCGATATACCTTGAACATATAAGAACAAGTAAACACAGTGAAGGAAAATGCACGACATCACCCTTCGTGCTTTTACTCTCAACCTCACCATATGAATCAACTGAAACATCACAACATCACCCTTCGTGCATTAACACTCACAATATGGCACGACATCACCCTTCGTACATTATCACTCACAAATCATGACACGACATCACCCTTCGTGCATTAACACTCACAATGCATGGCACGGCATCACCCTTCATGCATTAACACTCTCCTTCACCAAAACAATGAACATCAACAAAAGGGAGATAGAAATATAAAGAACAAGTCTTACTTCAACATTCGGTTCCACAATACCAACCTCGACTTTGGGTCATTACTCAATCAATACCAAAATCTGTGAACATAATAGGAATGATCAACATAACGATTCACTAGTCTAAGCATGGATAATATGATCACGGAAGGCAACAAATACAGGAATAAGACCCATTCGCATGCTATGACCCGACAACAACGCATAGGTACTTGTCACCTCACCTAAATTCTTTTGTGGACGGCAAAAAGATCGGGAGTCTTCCTTGGAAGATCTACAAAGGATGCTTGTAGCTTTAAACGAAAAGGGGAAGGACGCAAGTTGTGCAAAAGGCTAAAATTTAATATTACCTATTGGGATTGGAAAGAATGAGAATTCATTACTATTTTCTGCATATTGACTATCGAAGTATGTTCCACTTTGGACTTGGTCATGCAAGGGATATACGTCGTACCCAACATTCAAACACGTAGCAAATAAGATCTAATCCCTCAAGCCAAGGTTAACCACGATACTTAACTTGCTCCAACGGCCAAACTCAAATCTGAACCACAGATTTTCCCTTCAAACAAGCCCCTAGACCAATAAAATCTAGCAAATTACCAACCAAACGATTCAAATAAAGCCTTAGGAACTACACACGATTGTAAAGAATTCAATTTAGCTCATTATGGAAAAAGTCAACAAAAGACAACACCCGGGCCAGCTTAGCCCAAACTCAAAATTCGGACCAAAATCCGATTACCCATTCACCCCCGAGCCCGGTTATATAATTGGTTTTGGAATCCGACCTCAATTTGAGGTCTAAATCTCCAATTTATTAAATCTCTAGTTTCTACCCAAAACCCCTAATTCCACCATGAAAACCTTAGATTTTAAGTTAAAATCTTGTAAAATGAAGTGAAAGATTGAAAGAAACTAGTTTAGAATCACTTACCAATGTTTTGGGGAAGAAATGTGTAACGACCCGGTTGGTCGTTTTGAGATTTATAGCCCCGATCCCCTATTTACTTGCTTTTCCCGTATCTGTTCCTGCTATTGTGACTTGCCGGGAGGTTTTGTTTTGGTTTTTGGAGTCTTTTGGGACACTTAGTCCCTAAATGGAGGATTAAGTCTTAAGATTTAGACCGTAGTCGGAAATGTGTGAAAATGACTCCGGAATTGAGTTCCGTCGATTCCTTTAGCTTCTTTAGGTGATTTTGGGATTAGGGGCATGTCCGGATTGTGTTCTGGAGGTCCGTAGCTCATTTAGGCTTGAAATGGCGAAAGTCAAATTTTTGGAGTTTTGGGCCGCTACTGGAATTTTTGTTATCGGGGCTGGAATACGATTCCGGAAGTTGGAGTAGGTCCGTAATATTGAATATGACTTGTATGCAAAATTTGAGGTCATTCAGACGTGGTTTGATAGGTTTCCACATCGGTTGTGGAAATTTGAAATTTCAGGTTCATTAAGTTTGGATTAGAGGGTGATTTGTGTTTTTAGCGTTGTTTGATGTGATTTGAGGGCTCGACTAAGTTCGTATGATGTTTTAGGATTGGTTTGTATGTCTGGTTGAGGTTCCGGGGGCCTCGGGTGTGTTTCAGATGCTTAACGAGTTGAAATATGCAATTGCTGAAGATTTCTGGTGCTGGTGTAATCGCACTTGCGGAGTGGTAACCGCAGGTGTGAGCCCGCAGAAGTAGGACTTGGATCGCAAAAGCGACTTGAGGTGAGCGGAGCAGTGTCCGCAGGTGCGAAGATTTTCCCACACCTCCGATGGTCGCAGAAACGGAGAGTAGGGCGCAGGTGCGAGCTTGTGACCGCAGGTGCGATATAATTTCCGCACCTGCAACATGCGCAGATGCGGTCACTGGTCGCAGAAGCGAAGGAGGTTGGAGTAAGTGATTTCCGCAGAAGCGGTGTTTTAGCCGCAAATGCGGTACCACAGAAGCGGGTAACTGACCGTAGGTGCGGTTTAACTGGCAGAAAAAGGGCAAAATTGAGGGTTTGAATTCCTTCTTCATTTTTGAACTTGAGAGCTCGGATTTTGGCGATTCTTTGAAGGATTTTCAGAGGAACTTATTGGGTAATGATCCCTGACTCATTTTTGGTTGTATTCCATAAATCCATTATTGATTTCATCATTTAGTTAGGGATTTGAGTTGGAAAATTTGGGGAAAATTTGAGAAAAGTTCTTAGGCCGAATTTTGGGGTTTTGATCGAGATTTTGATATCGGATTTGAGTAAATTTGGTATGGTTAGACTCGTGAGTGAATGGGTGTACATATTTTGTGACTTTTACCCGATTCCGAGACGTGGTCCCGGGGAGGCTTTTGAGCGATTTTTCAAATTTCTTGCTTTAGCTTTGATTTCATTAGCTAGATCAGTTCTTTGTAGTTATATTTATGCTACGTAATTGATTTTTTCTAGATTTGGACCATTCGGAGCCGGATATTCGTTGGAAGAGCATTGTAACTGATTGATTGAGCTTGGCTCGAGGTAAGTGGTTTGCCTAACCTTGTGTGGGGGAACTCCCCTTAGGATTTGGTACTGTTTGATATATGAGTGCCGTGTACGTGAGGTGACGAGTGCGTACACGGGCTATTTGTTGAAAAACACCGTTTTCATTAAGTAAAATATCTGTTTTCCTTTAACTGAGAA